AATATTTGATTGCCTTAAAAAGGATAGATTAATTATTAATTGTTTTGAAAAGAACAATTTTTGGATATCTCGATCTTCTTTTTCATAATAAATGCTCGAAGTGTCCGCCATCCATTATAACGCAAGCTCTCATCCAATTCAATAAATTTGCCTGTATTCTTTTTATAACGTCGCCGATGGACCGATAAACTTCGTGAAGCTTGTTATTTAATTTTTCCACATTCTCCGGAAACTGTTCATAAATTTTTTCCTTGCAGTATCACCACACAAAAAATCCAATGAGTTGAGATCCGAGGATTTTGCTGGCCAGCGTATCGACCCATCCAACATGCGAGAAATTGGTTTAAAAAACCCATAACAATTCTGGCGTTGTGATGACCAGCGCCGTTTTGTTGGAATATTATTTTATTTCGATCCTAGAGTCTTCCAGAAAATTTGGTAAATTTTCTGTCAAAAATTGCATATGATACTAATATTTTTGTTTCCATAATCCCAGCCCAGACATTCAATTTCTAATGAATTTGGAAATTTTTGAGCCGCGTCATTCGCGGATTCTCGTCGTCCCATATGTGCATATTATGCAAGAATTCCTTCTCGTGTAAACAGCGATTCATCGCTAAATATTACATAAAAAAGAAATTCTGGATCTTCATCAGCTCTTCTGAGGAAACCCTCGCAAAACATTTCCCCCCGAGGATAATCTTCATCTCGTAGAGCTACTGTAATAGTAGGCGTGCAATTTTTCTTTTAAAATTTGTTGTATGTTATTGAATACGATAATCCATGCTGTCGAGCAATGTTTCGAATACTGGTTTCTTGTTCTTGCTCAACGGCATGAAGAATTGTTTCCGTATTTCGTACATTTCTTGCGTAACGCTGCCTACCGGCGTCTTTTTTTCTTTGGCAAGACGCTTCCGGTTTCGTATAACCTTTTCACTGTTTCAAGTATAACGTTGGTATGTGGACGCCTTGCTCTATTTGGATACAGCTCGATGTATCTTCTTGCAACAACGTAATATTGCCAATGACACTCACCGAATGCCATATATCATATTCTTCGTTACTGCCATTTTTTAATCCTTCGCTTCTATGATGCTCGAGGAATTATTGATTTATGGATCGATCGATCCCCAGTATTTATCTGATCTTCGCAAGAGATCGCACCTTTCTATCCTCAGTGACCAATCCCGGGGCATACGCGACCCTTCGTGAAGATCGGATAAATACGGGAGACGATCAATCCATAAATCAATAATCCCTCGAGTATCGTAGAAGCGAAGGATCAAGTCGGATAGTATTAAGATTAATTATTAAGTTAGAATAAGAATTAATATTATTTTGATCATTATAGAGAAATATTTAAATGTATGGATACACACATATACGCAAAGATGTAAATACGCGAAAATCGTAGAATCAAAATGTATGCCGCATATTTCATTGATCTAGAGTATTTCGCGACAAACGACATAATAATAGGGTTGGACGGCTTATAAGAATTATCAAATAAGAACTTTTGAGTTATTAAGAGTCAAAATAAAAATTTTCAAGTTGGGACACAAAATGTCTGTATTAGCCATAGAGAAAAAAGAGGAGTAAGACCTAATGGGTCGTGATAAGAGCGCAAGACATGTTGTTGGACGGAATGGTGGCGCTGATGAATGCGTGGAATTAAAAATTGCCGAGCGCAATCGCGTTTGTAAGTGACCGTTGTAGAAACTACGGTGAGAATTTCAAGTTGCGAGTGAAAGAGACCTAAGTGGTCACATGTCGCAAGTCTTACGGGCGGCGGAACCAAATGCGGTAATGCATAGAGGCAGCACCTTGGACGAACCAAGGAGACCATTTGTTGTTATCGTGAATGATTGTTATCCCGTGGACTGGTATCCCGAGTAAAGGGTTAATAATAGCGAAACAACTCCGGCGGAAAATAATAGTAGGCACGAACCCTTGTGGATTGACAATGAGATATTTCGTGTAATGTGTGGAGGTGCTGAGGAGTACACGAGCGACACTTTGTTTGTTGAGAGAACTACGAGAGGCGAAGACCTCATGTGGCTGCCTAAAATGAAGAGAATAGTAAGATTAAAATAATGGAAATACTTACTTCAATTAGTTAATAGTCATAAGGGGATACCGCCGCCGTGAAGACTTCTATATATTAGTACTTGCAAGGAGAACGAGGACAGACGAGATCTGAAGCGATGGTTGCGAATAACCAGTCAGTAGAATGTATTTACTGGGTGAAGCGAGGCAAATGTGTGAGCGTGAGCGCAGCGAGTACCATGAAAGCTCGCTGGGGGGCTGACGTATGAAGTCAAGTGGGAGCTATGGGAAATAGAGTAGCCAAGGAGTAGGGACTGACAGGCTGCGGCTGCTGAGAACGAGAGACCATTGAGGAGTCTACTCCGGGTAGTTGAGAAGATAACACAGATCGGAAGGAAGTACGACAACGTGGCGAGCTACAAAGGAGACACCCGCGATAGCGGAAATCTCTAACAACCGTGCGATTAGGGATCACGGGTAGGCCGCAGTGCGTGGGCTCTTCACTCGATAGATAGGATTTGCCGTAATTAAAAGATAATTTACGGTGCGTTGCTAGACATGGCGTTTAGGAACGCTTTTTTTATAGAACGGACGATTGGATTGTATTAATTTTAAGCTAAGTAGAACACATTGTTAATATTTTGATAAATAAATTGTTGTGTTGAAACATGGAATTGATAGAATTATCATAACTCTTATCCTTCCGGTAAAACCGCGATCGTAACATGGAAGTTAGAGTCAGAGACGACTGAGACAACAAAGTACAGAATAAAGTGAGAACGGAATATCGAGTGCTTCTTCGTTTTTGGGGATTAAAGAACGTGGCGACCGTAACACTATTAAATTGAAATGTTCTTAAATACGCTTAAAAAATTTGTATTTTGGCGAGAAAAATGCGATTCGATTTTGTAAGATAATGGTAAGAATTTCATCGGAGTTAGGAATGTATTGCGGCAAATCGGTGAATTCCTGTAACATCCTGAACATAAAGAAATATTATTTTGCATCTAAACAGGAAATTTCATGGAAGTTTATTCCACCACATTTTTTCTATTGTACATAAGAGATTTATGGGAAACGAATGTTGTATGTAAAGACCATAAAAACTTATTTTAAGACTGTAATCATATACGATACATTATTGTTATTCAAAGAATTGTATACGTCCTTATCAGATTGAGGCGATATTAAATTCTCATTCATTGTGTTCGTTGAGCAATGCTCCAGATGAATTGGGAATGTTAACACCTGGGCAGAAGCATCCCTTCTTGTGGTATCAGAAAAATCGGTACTTCACGTGCTTACAAATCGCATTAATCGCTACCAGCTGTTATCGAAACTGTAGCAATTATTTTGGAAGTGTTGGTCAACGGAATACTCAGGTGCAATAACGTATGAAATGGAAGACCGCTGTGACAAGTACGCAATGACAAGATAGAAGTTGATAGATTAGCGCTAATTCGCTACTATAATAGCGGATAAAACCCTACTCCCCCCCCTAAGATGGCGTATGGGTAGGTTTGAGTTTTTTACACCCTAGTTCTGATAAGTAAGAATAGTATAAAAAAAAATATGTATGTTACAATCATCTGAATTGTTAAATATGTACTAGCATACATGTCTTGTATTTTTTCGGTTCAAGCTTATCTGCGTTGCGCTTAAGAAAATTTTTTTTTATTTATGTTATAATTCTGTTCTTACAATTATATTTAACTCTGCCATTTTTGTAAACCACATCGATGTTATTACATTGTCTTTGTGTATTACATGTATGTTGAAGTGATACTTCAACAGATAGCCAGAATGTATGAAATTTCGCGCAAATTTGTGTCGTTTCTTCCCAAACTATAGTCACGCCTATAATTAATGTTTGCGGCGCTAATGGTATGTTTCGAGGCTAGAGGAGGAGAAAGCGTAATACTAAGCAAGACACATCGTCAGCTACATCATAAAAAAATAAAATTAAAGTTCTCAAAATCATTTGATGTCATTAATTTCAACGGGTATCAATCAGAATTCCACCAGTCTGTTAAATGGGAAGATAACTTAAAACCAGAATCACAGAACACTGAAACCATATGAAAAAAAACACGTTCACTCGGTCAATTATAATTGAATATAGAGTACAAGGGGGTCAGGAATTTATGTGGGAACGTTACCATTTTAGATGAAGAACCTTATTACACAAAATAATTGATTTAAGAAATGTTATTTACCAAAACACAAAGAAATAGTACAAATTTATAAACAGACACTAAAGATTTCCACAAAGCTATTATCGATAAATTGTAACTCTGTAAGGCAGACTCGAACCGTTAGTCAGTGACAGACATTTGTAACATGTAAAGCCGTGAGCTATACAACATTAATTTAATTTATAAAATAAAACTCGTGAGTACTCAACTTATACACTTTTAATTAAATAAGCACTAAGATTTAACAACATTTTATTATATTTTAACACATTGATTAAGACACAATTAATAAACATGAAATATTGCACAACACTTATAACGCTTGTTGTGAGTAATACTCATCTTAATGATAAATTATCATTTATCTCATTTATATTCAGTTCAATATACCAGTGTTTTGATTTTTATCTGGTCGATTGAGAGAGAGAGAGACAATCATACAGCGTTGTAAGACAACTCATTAACCGCGTTGTAAGATATTAGAAATAATGGCAAATAACAGAGTATAATTACATAACACAACATTACGCAATTGTACATCAATGCAGAATTAATAAATGCAAACATATATCATTGTCGTCGGAATTTCTGAAGAAGATCCAGAAAGAGCAAAAACATAAGAAGTATCATAAATAACCGAATACAATAAATCAGTTATAGAAAGTAATTGTCGTGAGTTATTTGCCGTACTTGACTCCTATTCTCTTATATCGTTTTTAATTTGAATTGAAAATAGTCATTACATTATTTTATATTGACCTAAATAAACCCTTTGTTGTTCCGATGCCACCAATCGACTGAAGAATTTCTCCATCATGATTGAATATCTATACAAAAAGGTTGTATTTTATTTAGAATATTTATTAGTACAGCAATAATAACGCAATGCAAGATAAATTTATAATTTTTGTACATATTTAATTTATCGAAATATATAGGGTTGGCGATCAATCTCGAAAAGTGCACATCGTACAAAAAACTGTGTTATATTAAAAATATTGTTTGTAGGGATCGTATGATGGTGCTATCGGTTCGATCGTAGTAGAGATGGAATCGGAGTTTCCTAATCAGAGTTTGGCCACTTGAAGTTGCCGCCAAAATTGTGCGAGAGAAAATCACTTTATCTCATTCTACAATGGCGCTGTAAGTTGCAGCTCTATAGAGACGCTCTATAAGCTTTATAATTTTTGACGAACATTCTTACACGTTCAAGCGACTAATTGGCGATTAAAATTTAAAGAAACGTAAAAATTTAGTTGTGTCTAATCATAAATATTACGATAGCAAGTCCACGGCTATGCATCATGTATTTAAAGTAAAATGCATAATGTATATTCATTACGTATTTAAATAGATGAAACATGTCGGACCAATCATAAACCAGAGAGAAGATGGCCAGATTCTGATTAGAGGGTCTCTACGTCGTAAATGACGCGTCGTATTCTGATGTGCTGATGGAAACCTACAGAAAAAATTTCTACATTCAATATTATTCCTTAAGCTAGAATAAAATAAGGTTGATATAAAGCCAATCGTATTTATTCTTCAAAAAAGAATATTTTTTTCTCAAATAAAAAATTCTAAAATTAAATCTAGAATAAAGTATTTTTGATGCTACTCTATTAATTTTTTAACAAAAAAATTTAGATTGGACATAACATTTAATACTAAACATCGATGTTTTATTCCATTCTTACGGAAGGAAGTTTACAGAATGTTAATAATCTTTCATTTTTATAATAGTAACAAAAAACTAGACTCGATTGGAACTTAAACTCAAAATCTCACGTTCCACGTGTTTCACCTAGCGCGTTACACCACAAAATTCGCTTCCGCTATATCATTATGTATGCAAGATGTTCCAAAATAATTGCTAAATATTTCATGGGCAGGTAGAGCGGACTGAGTCGAAAAATCCCGTATCATTTTGAAAGTTTCCTTAATAGTTAACGAGATATTAATCCTTAAAGATAGCCAAACAGTGCGCTCGCCCGGCTTATTACTGCGATGTGTGTATGCCTACCGATCGCTTGGCGCGCGGGTCATGGGGAACAGGGAAGTCTGGCAAGCGCGCCGTCCGAGTTATGGAGATGTGCGTGGCGCGAGGCTCTTGCCAGGCAGTCTCCGCGCTTCTATTAATGGCGAATATTCAGCGCTTTAGAAATTTATATCTTAATTGCGAAAATTGGGCGATAACTTTTCGAGAATTTAGTTTAATTTGTTTTAAAGCGTGTACATAGTATAACATAGAAAAATGTTACATACATATTATTTATTTCAAATAAATAATAAGGGTATTTTAAAAATATATTATTAAGAAAATATTTTTTGTAAAGGTAATCGTTACTAAAAAAATTAAGAATAAAAATTTAGCACTAGAATAATATTTTGTTGCATGTACGTACACAAATAATAATCGGCGCACTCAAAGAAAGGTTTCTTCGATTTAAAGAAATGTTTCTTTGCTGTGTTTCTTTGATTAAAAAAAATGTGATATAGACTCGCGAGTCGAAAAATAATTTCTTTTATCATTTTTGTGGCAAGGAACTGATATAGGGCTATCATTTCCACACCACCTTGGTAGATAGCATTTTTTTTTAAGTGGTATTCACAGTAGATCTAATCCATTCTTGCATTTTAATGCAAGAATTGTTCGAAGTGTCTTCATCGTTCTCGTAAACAGATTTCGGCTCTTCAAGTAATATTGCGCGTCGCGCAATGCGCCATTTCTGGTATAATGGTATTGAAGGCTGCGAGAATTACTTCTCGTACATCAGCTTTAGTATCATCATAAATATATTTGATTAAATCTTTGATGTGACCCTAAATGAAATAGTCGAGCACGTTAAGATCCGACGTTCGTGGCGGCCAAATTATTGGGCCACCTCAACCCATCCATCTGTCCGGATAATGTCTAGCACATTGCGTACCTGCCGCGAAAAATACGCAGGAGCCCCGTCGTATTGAAAAATAAGTTTCTTCCCTCCGTGGAAGAGGAACGTCTTCGAGAAGAGCGACCCATTTTCCAAAAAGTTAATGTATGTCCCTCCCGTTAAGCTTGATTTTTAAGGGAGAAAGAAGGGACCGATCTGAAAATTGTCACAAGAGTGTGATTTTAAAAAGTGCGAGAGAGAGAGAGAGAAAATGTCTTAAATCATTAACTGATTACATACGTAGGCTGTTGGAAAAGTTTCTGCAAACAATATGAAAAAAAAACATATATTGTACAATTCGGTAAATGGCTTTATTGTTTTTCGAAGTATTCGCCTTTAAGATCGATACATTTTTGCATATGCTCGAACCAATTTTCGAAGCATTTTTTCCACTCTAAGGCTGTAACCTCAGATATCAGTGTACGAAATGTTTCAACAGCTGCTTCAGGCGACTCAAATCGCTCACCACGCATCTTATTTTTAATGTTTGGGAACAAAAAGAAGTCATTAGGTGATAAATCAGGTGAATACGGACAATGAGTCATCAATTCGACATTATTACTGGATAAAAAATCAACGGTTTGACGTGCTGTGTGACAGCTGGCGTTGTCATGAAGGATGATGCGACGATTTCGGTTTGTTCTACGCAATTCATTTATGACTTCTGGCAAACAAATTGTTGTATAACAATCAGTATTTACAGTCCTTCGATCCTCTAAAGTCATGATTGTCACATGTCCGGTATAACCGAAGAAACAAGCAATCATTTGCTTGGCAGCACTGAACGAATAACTTTTGTTGGTTTCGGTTCATTTTGAAATACCCAAACAGTGGATTGTTGTTTACTTTCGGACTTATACGAATAGATCCATGTTTCATCCCTAGTAATGATGTTGTAGACCAAATTTGACTGACTTCGGTTGAATTTCTTGAGCATTTCTTTGCTCCATTTAACACTAGCCTGTTTTTGAGCTTTGGTCAAATTGTGTGGGATCCAACGACTGCAAAGTTTCCGTACGCTCAGTAGTAATCATGCAAAATCGTATGTATTGCTTTCATGTCAATGCCTAAGGAATCTCGCGGTATGTTATATGCCGGTCTCGCTCAATCATTTCACGCACAGCATCAACATTAGTGGCAACAACAGACGTGGATGGACGACCTTTACGGAATTCATCACTGAGAAAGGTACATCCACGTTGAAATTCGGCAAACCAATTATAAACAGTCCTATTGGATGGTGCTTCATCCCCAAAAGCTAAATGAAGTCGATCGATGCATTGTTTCGGAGTTAGATTACATTTGTAATCGTAAAAAATCATTGCCCGAAAATTTTCTTGCGAAATTTCCATTTTCTTACAAAATAACTTCTTTTAAAATACTATGCAAACAAAACTAGTTGGCTTGGGTACAAACTGTCAATTGAATTATAGGTTAAAAACGTCTAATTTTACGGATATGATAGTAGCAGAACGTTGGCGCTACTGAAAGTACTAGGTTGCAAAAATTTTTCTAGCAGCCTACGTACAATTCGATCCGCTATTACTCCTGTCCATACGTTTATCACTCATCGATATTGGAATGCATCTTGCCGAACAGCGTGCGGATTTTAACTAATATACGTAATTATGGGAGTTGGACACGCCATTCGGTGTGAAGGTTGCTTCGTCCGTCCATAAGATGCGGTCAGGGAGAAGGACATTCCACCGACACTGCAATCCTCGTTCATTTCGCCGACAATTAATATTTCTTAAAAACAGCGAGGACATTTTATAAAAATAATAAAAGTATCTTTACAGAAACAGATGGTCGGCTCTTCATCTCGCGCAAAAAGCATATTTCAAAAGAAAATTTCTAGAAAAGCGTATTTCGGAAGAAATTGAATGCACATGCAACACAACGCTGTGGATTTTATTTGAACGCTTAGGATATTTTCTTCTCAGCTTCCACGCAAACACGCATTTTTGCTCCAGCGTGTGAGATTGTAACACTGAAAATATCGAAACCAATTTAAAAAAATGATTTCATCTTATTTTTGCTCAGGAAATCGTTCCGCGTAGAGACGAACGACGCCGCGCGAGAGTGTTGTTGTTCATTTGTTATCAGCTTCATTTGTTTTTTCCACAACGATCCATCATTTAGTCGTACAGTGTCTTGTATCGACGGGCGTATGCACTTTGCGGTAGTAGGCCGGGCGAGCGCGTCGTTCGGTTATCTTTAAGGATTAATACCTCGTTAACTATTGGGGAAACTTGCAAAATGGTACGGGACTTTTTGACTCAATTTAGCCCGCTCTACCTGCCCATGAAATATTTGGCGATTATTTTGGGACATCCTGTATAACACTGAATAGATTTATTCTAAATGTAAGAAACCTAAATTTATATGTATATACTCTTATTTGTCTTAAGACAAATGTCGATCTTATTTATTAATCTTAATGCAGTTAGAATTTTATACTGTGTACAGCTGAGATAAGAGATTAAGTACGGTAAGAATTTTTTTTCTTGATATTAAAGAAATCCTTTCTGACCGTATAATATTAACTTTACCTAATTCTTCAAATAAAACCCCCCTTTTTATTACAAAATCAAGTTTTAGATAAAAAGCATGAAGCTTTTATTCGAAACGATTTTCAAAAAAATGTATTTATCGGTAGTTATAAGCGATTGAAAAGTTAGTTGCCCCAGTAAATTAAAACGTAACTGTAATAATTAGGGAGCACATCGAAAGAACAATGACATACTTCATGGTTACGGTGACAATATGTAAATGTCACATAATTTTGTAAGATACTTAAGAAGAACAAAGATATATGTACTTTTTTGTTATGCTATATAATCATAACAATTATTAAAAAGATAATACTGTTTAAGGGAGCCGCCTCCCATAAT